AGTTATAGCAATATAAAAAGTATTCTTTTCAGCTTCTCTGCTTCCAGCTCCCACTCTAGGTGTCACATCACCCACTCTAGCTATGAAATCCCAACTCCCATTCTTTCCAATGGGAAAATTTTTGTCAGTTTTTTGGGAATATTCCAAACACCGCACAACAAAACTCAACCAAAATCGATAGGCTTCATCCTCTAACCACTATCAACCTGCATGTGAAATATCAAAAGGATTGGATAAGAATTGCAGTCTGTAGAGCATTCACAAGAAAATCTCTATGGATGCGGACGCTCGACGACCGCAAATCGACGACTGCAAATCCATAGTACCCCCGGACACTATAACAATACTGTTAATCTAGGGCAGCTAAGCTGTGGTGGTCAAATAAATTTGTTAAGCACTGCATATAATATATATATGTGTGTATATATATATATATATATATATATATATATATATATATATATATACACACTGTGAATATATATATATTTATATAAATATATATATATAAAATATATATACCCCAATTCCGAAATAGTTGAGACAAAGTGTAAATTGTGATTAAAATCAAAACACAATGACTTTCAGATCGCACCAGCCAGTATTTTATTCACAATAGATCAAAGATAACATAGCAAATGTTGGAACTGAGAAATTTCACAATCACATCCACAAAATCAGCTGATTTCAAATTTGATGGCTGTCTCAAAAAAGTTGGGACAGGGGCCTGTTTACTAGGTGTAGCATCCCCTCTTCTTTTTAACACAGAGTGGAGGCGTCTGGGCATTGAGGAGATAAGTTTCTTGAGTTTAGCCAATGGAATTTGATCCCACTCTTGTTTAATACAGGCCTCCAGCTGCTGGAGAGTTTTGGGTCTCCTTTGACGGACTTTTCGTTTAATTATGCGCCAAATGTTCTCAATTGGTGAAAGATCAGGACTGCAGGCAGGCCAGTTCAGTACACGGACTCCTCTACTACGAAGCCATGCTGTTGTAATAGCTGCAGTATGTGGTTTTGCATTGTCCTGATGAAATACACAAGGCCTTCCCTGGAAAAGATTTCGTCTGGTGGGGAGCATATGTTGCTCTAAAACCTTTATATACCTTTCAGCATTCATGGAGCTTTTTAAAACATGCAAGTGTCCCACACCATATGCATTAATGCATCTCTATAGCATCAGAGATGCTGGCATTTGAACTGAACGCTGATAACAGGAGGGGTGGTCTTTCTCCTCTTTAGCCCGGAGGACACGACACCCATGATTTCCCACAAGAATGTCAAATTTGGACTCGTCTGACCACAGGACACTTTGCTACAGTCCATTTTAAATGAGCCTTGGCCCACAGAACACGGCGGCGCTTCCGATCATGCTCAACAATGGCTTCCTTTTTGCATGATAGAGTTTTAGGTGGCATCTGTGGATGGCACGGCGGACTGTGTTTACAGACAATGGTTTCTTGAAGTATTCCTGGGCCCATTTAGTAATGTCAATGACAGAATCATGCCGCTGAGTGATGCAGTGGCGTCTGAGGGCCCGAAGATCACGGGCATCCAGTAAAGGTCCCTTAAGCACAGAGATTTTTCCAGTTTCTCTGAATCTTTTCATGATGTTATGCACTGTCGATGATGAGACCTTCAAAGCCTTTGCAATTTGACGTTGAGGAACATTGTTTTTAAAGAATTCCACAATTTTTTTTATGCAAGCCTTCACAGCTTGGCGAGCCTCTGGCCATATTTACTTCTGAGAGACTCAGCCTTTCTAAGACATCCCTTTTACAGCCAATCATGTTACACACCTGATGCCAGTTAACTTAATTACTTGCTAAATGTTCTTTCAGCTGATTTTCTTATATATTACTCGCTTTTTCAGCCCTTTTTGGCCTGCGTCCCAACTTTTTTGAGACCTGTTGCAGCCAGAAAATTTGGAATAAGCTAATCTTGTGGATAAAAATGTAAAATGTCTCAGTTTCAACATTTGAAATGTTATCCATGTTCTATTGTAAATAACATATTGGCTCACATGATCTGAAAGTAATTGTATTTTGATTTTATTCACAATTTACTCTTTGTCCCAACTATATCGGAATTGAGGTTGTACACCAATACTTTTTGGAAAATAAATTGAGATTTTAAGATGATAAAAGTATATATTTATGGATACTCTTGGCGTGAATTTTGAGTTCAAAACTAGTTGACATAATTTTTAATTTTTAGCTGATGAAAGTACACTTTGAAATCTACTGCAAGGAAACAGAGATACGCGTCTGGTTGTTGAGGCAAATCTTAAAAACAATTTTTCTTGTTGCTCTCAACTTAATGAAAATAAACGAGAATTTACAAACTAATTCATTTTACGCACTGTTGAAATTCTTTTGGAATTGAGGTCGTACAAAAAAATCAATAAATAAGTATATTAAAAGCATTTGGCTACCAAGACTTCAAATTTGCAAATTCGTTGTTAGATTTTATCCGTTGGCCACGGTGTGGAAATACCGCAACACAAGAGATGCCACCGGTAAGCCGTACTGTGTCCATAATAATGTCATTTCATGGACCTTCATTACTACATTGTGGCAGGACTGAACAAACAGAGGATTTCTGTTGTCATTTTACGATTTAATTACCTGCTCTAGAGGATTTGTAGCGGTTTTCCCAGCTGTGCCCTCCGTTTGGTAGGTGAGAGTACGCAGCCTTCAGTCGGTCTCATGCACCTCACTGCCGGTCTGATCTCATGCGTGTGGAGTAAAGCGACGCTGAGGGACGAGTGTATGTGACACTGCTGTCTGGAAGGAAAAAGCGTGAGTGAGAGAGAGGTGGAGGAGACTCTGGAGTGAGTGAGAGACAGAGACACTGAGAGGCTGGCTAAGAGAAGGGGTAGAAAAACAGGGTGGGCAGTCCTTCACAACACACTTGTGTCGAAATTATAATCCCTCAAGGGTTTCTGGCAAAATATTTTCACCTCAAGAAATTTTTGCATCAGGTGTAAAGTCTGCAGGTTAGCACCGTGCATTTCACTGAAAATGTTGAGGCAGCCAAGCCATGACTTTCTGAAACTGCTTAATCTAATTTTTTTTTTTTTTTTTTTTTACATTGAATCATGAGTCTAAATTGTTTGATCGGGCACAGGCTGGAGACCCCTCTTTAGCACATCCTGACTCTTGCTGTGCTTCAGTTGACTTTCTTTGTTCATTATAATGATGTATAAGGTTTGAATCACTTATGTTGGGAATTTCAAGTGGACACCTTCATTTACAAGAAGGGTTAGGAAAAGCTTCACTAAAAACAAAGAGCAGGCCATTTGAATTAAGTGTAAGAAATTAACTATTTCTGCTCAGTGCGGATGCCGACTGCACCTGACATTCACCATTGTTGATGTTGTTCTTACAAGCATTGGAGTTGTTGCATTTTATTGCTTGAGCGTTACACACTATAGTTCTTGTTTTCATTTGGACTCCTTATATTATTTTAGTCTTTCTGTTAATTCTCTCTCCAGCACATCACACTGGTGGCTGACTTTGACTTAAAAACGGAGTTCATTGGGCAATGCTCTTGAGATTCACAAAGCAACTGGGGATACAGGTCTCTGCACTATGCCTGTGTCTTTTCTGCATAATGGTGCACGTGCTAGGAAAACTTTTTGGTCAACTGAACGAGCCTTTGTTCGCCTTTGCCTCTGCCAGTCCTGTCCTACCTGTTCTGTAAAGCCCACTCCCCTCCTACTTGTCCACAATGAGAGTGAATGCGCCTTTAAACGCCTGTTGTTCCTGCCATTCTCATTGGCTACCTGCAAGGTGTCAAGTTCCAACCGCCCTCAGAAAAACAGGAAAAGAGGAATTGGCTTCCTGAAAAAATAGGAATAAAATCGGAAAATGAGGCAGAAAATATGTCAAAAATAGGAATTTTATTGACAATAAATGTGCAAATTAAAAAAGCAAAATCACGAAATCACGAACAAATAATGAGCCAAGTAAACTCCCACTTCGAGGTAATCAAAGTAATACTTATAGGACAGAAAAAAGTTTATATGTGTGCTGTAAACATGCATGAAACCAATGATCATTAGCCTGGCTAGCTTGAGCAAATATTGCAGGGATGAGCTGCCGGATAGCTCACTCGGTTAAGGCACTGCGTTGCAGTGCAGAAGTGACTATCACGTCGCGGGTTCGAGCCCCGGTCGTACCAACCGGCAGTGGTCGGCAGCTTTTTCAGAGTAGCGCACAATTGGCCATTGCGCTACAGGGTTTCAAATTGGGAAGGGACTGCCGGGAAAAGGGAAATAGCTAAATAGCTTTGTTTGTTGCTCAAGCGCCTCCTGTTGGCCAGACGGGCGCTCGTCAGGAAGATTCTAAGCTTGGTCATGTCCGGGTATCCTCCGCCCTCGTTCTGAACTTGCGAAGATTCAACCAATGAGTGTATAAGAAGCAGTGGCTGACAGGCACGTGCTTCGGAGGAGAGCCTTGAACTGTCTTCGCTCTCCTGAGTTGGCAGCAAGGGGTCGCATACGAGCAAGCTTTGTACATAGTTCACCAATTGGGCATTCCAGATTCGGGTGGGATTGGAGATGCCAAATTTTTTTATTAAAAAAAACAATATATATTGCAGGGATGCCATGTTCAGAGCAAAGGGCCCTAAGGTGACCCATTTCCAAATATTGCTAGCTAGCTAAAAACTGTTTGTCAGCTAGCTACCCAAGTAGTAAACTGAAATTCAGTCGGGTCACCGTCATTATCCAGCTAGCTAGTGGCAGGCCGAAGGAGGGCCCGGGCGGGGAATTGAACCCCAAACTCCCGGGTAAGAGTCACAGGCACTGACCATATTGCCACAAGGTAGCCAGGGCGCGTACTTATTAGGAGGCATTTCCAGTGACAGGACCCTTCAACTGTCACATCCCTCCCCGTCTTTCAGGAGCCTGTCCTCATGCTCCATGTTTTACGCATGCTGCCATCCACTGGGATTCCCTGAATCCTGCCGATTAAGCCAGAATGTGGCTGGCCGAAGGAGGGCCCGGGCGGGGAATTGAACCCCAAAATCATGGGTAAGAGTCACAGGCGCTGACCATTTCGCCAAAGAGCCAGGCTCGTTGGCAAGGTAGCCAGGGCGCGAACTTATTAGGAGTCATTTCCAGTGACAGGACTCATCAACTGTCACACTAGGTAGTGAGAACTAGCATTAAAATTCATGATAACGGGGACTGCATTTACCTTATTTTGAATGGTTAGTTGCAAGGGCATAAGTTCGATTTCAGACTTGGTCAAGACATATGCAATGTGAGCGCATACAGCGCGCAAACTACAAAAGTTTTTTTGCAATAATTTTAGTGCAAATACTGCCTTTTCTTTTTACAGAGATTATCCTGATGAGTGTTAGTCAGATGTTTTTTATGGTGTTAAGTGAGGTGCCTCAATAATTGAGCCCCTAAGAACCATACCGGGCCATCCCGCACTTTTGCCGAAATTGAGTTGTGGTAGTCAGCATGTGCAGAAAACTGAGATCTACATTTCCTAACAGCCCAACCCAATCTGCCCACATGGATTGTTAATACAAGCAAATGTCTTCTCTGCCCCTGCATATATGCACTGCACTGCCTTAGCCATAATACGCCATCCCACAACCTTCCCATAATTCATTGTAAACATGGCAGCTCGGTATCTCACTGATGAGGAGTTGCTTATTGTGATTGATGATGATGGTGAAGTGGAAGATGACAGAGACCCAAAGTTTGTCCCAAATGAATCAGACGATTATGCTTCCTCCTCAGAAGGAGGTTGGTTTCAATTTAATGCAGCAGAAAGGCACCCAAAACCTGCACAAGAAGTGCATGTGCATGATTTTACATCTCTTGAGTTTGTACCAAATGCAGTGTTTACTCTAGATGACTCTAGGTGCAGTGTTTACTCTGGCAACTTTGAGTCCCATTTTCTCAAAAGTACCCCAACATGGGTTGGCCCGGTATGGTTCTTAGGGGCTCAATTTTCATAGATAGTTGCCATATTCATAAACTTGTTTTTCTATTTTGTATCCAAATACTTTTGATTTGGATTTTGAATACAATTTTACAACTATTATTTACGTAATGAACATTTATCATGAAGCTAAACAATACTGAACAGTTGATAAAATTTTTCCCAATTTATAAATAACTTAATTACATGATATTTTGTTGAATTAATAGCAAATGTTACAATTATTATACAATAATTTATTAGCCAGATAGATAGCACGTTAGCTCACTAGTGATCTAGCGAACGTTACGGTTCGATGCCAGCCACACATTTAACGGCTGTACAAATCAGACTTGGAAATGCCTTGCTCAGGTTCTGAGTAGCCCAACACCCCACATAGTTCCCACATAAGTTAGATAACACTTAACACAAATAATTTTTGAAGAAGAACCAATATATGGCATTTTCAGACCGCTTCCCAATGTAACAGCAAGTTAACACTCGAATGTCTCATTATTAAACGCATTCTTGTGAATGTCAAATTGCCAATTCAGTGTTGACTTTAACTTTGAACAAAAACTGGGTGCTAGACAGGTACTCGCATCTAGTTGTTGAATGTCTTGCGTAGGAGAAATGGTTGAGCAGCGAAAACAATGAAGCAGTGGCATGGAAAAAAAAAAAGTCCTTGTGCTGCCCATCACACAATGGGACAGCAACAGTCTTGTACTTTAGGAAAGTTTACCCTCACCTCATCTTCCTCTCAACTTTCTTTTTTGTCCCATTTGTATGTTCGTTCTTTTCCTAAATTTTCAGTGAAGTTGCTGAGAAAGTCTACCTATAGCTAATCAAAATGGCCTATTTGGAAATTGATCATCACATTTCCCATTAATCTCCACAAAAAGAAAACCAGAAAAAGAATTTTCCATCACATAAACAGAAAATATGCAGCCTAACCACCAGTTAGCAAAAAAAAAACAAAAAACGTAGGTCTAACGGAGGCCCTAACATATGTACACGATTATTAAACATTGATGGATTGAAATCTCATAATGTTACTTTCCACGACTGAGATTAGTTTGGATTTGCTGTCATTTATAATGCTGATACACAGTAACTTACAAGTGAATTCTGCATAGCAAATCATCATCCTCAGTTTTCTGCACCATTAAACAGCCACAAAGATTATTTTGCCAAAGCCATGGATATCGAGTATTGAGGTGACTACGCAACAGCTATTTAGCTTTCCCCAACGGCAATTTATAATGAGGTTTGGACACTTACCAGCATTACTCAAAATGAAATTAATTTTATTAGCTGGTTTGTGATGAGATTAGCCTACAGGGTAAAAAGATGCAGGTGATCACATCAAATTCATAGTTTATTGTCAAAAATGTTGTCTTTGCATTTTTAGTCCAGTTTGTGGTCCACGTTTGTGAACTACATATCCACTACACAAAAGCGCGAGTAGCCCATGATTTGTTCCTGGCCACAAACGTTCACAACGTAACTTGACAGAAGGCGATTAGTGACATGAATTGTCATTGACTATCTCCAGGAAACCTTTAACCCTGCAACCAAGCAAAATTATTACACAGCTGGTTAGCTATTAAACAATTCAATGACAATGAAAATTTATGTCTGCTGGCTGAGCAAGGATGGCAGGTACATTCCTCCAGAAATTCAACATGCATTCGCCATTTAAGTTTCATTATATTTGCAATCCAGTCTCTAAAATTAAAATTGATCTGTGGCTAGCATCTGAATCGTAGCAGCAGTTTGTGAACATTCAGTTTTTTTGGAATGCCTGCACTGTTCTCCCAAACTGAATAGACTCATTCAGTTTGTTCCTATCAATGTGTCTCCTGCATTGCCTCTGGCAAAACAAGACTGGCTAGGTCAAAATCCAGAATTTGGGCCTACCATTAATGTTATAGCGATTGCGATGCCAATTTCTGTTCGCGCCTTAACGGTAATTCCCCTTGTGTGTTAGCATTGAGATAGCTCCATCACTCAGCTACCCAGTTAGTGAGTCACGACCATTCATGTTTGTACGAGCAATGATTTAAAAATTCACAGTCAGTTGAGTAGCCAGCTCACTAAATACACACCATTGCCACTCTTTTTTTGAAAGTAGCAATGTAGCATGCTAGCTTAGCTGGTTAGCGAAATAGCTGCAAATTTTTTATTAAAACACAGTAAGAAAGAACACTAACCATCCTGCAAACAATATCTGAACACAAACACAGAAAATTCACACCAGGAAACATGCATTTTCATTATTTATAGTCTTCTCAGAGTTTTCTCATTGGGCTTGCTTGGGAAAATATCCCACAGTCAGGACATCCTGACCATCCCTATCCAAATCCACAACTACAGTTAATTTGAATTTCTTGAAGTAAGGTTATGTGAGGTAGCTAGTTAGCGACCTATCCATAGTCAATGCTTTAATATTAGCAACCTAGCTAGCTAGTACTGGACATTAGTATGGGAAGTATGCAATGAACTGCTAAGGACAAGGAAAGCAGCAAATGTATTGCTACTCTGCACTGATACAAATCTGAACACGTTTACTCTTTAACAAGCCTTCAGTCAAAGTATAATTAAATATAACCCTCAGTAATTTTTAAAGTCCGATGCAAATTGACAGTGAAAAGTTCCTTGCTCTGAACATGGTGCACTGTACTGTTAGTGGCGATACTACTGTAGAAAATTCAGTAGTAATGGACATAGATGGTAAAAGCTCTTTACTCTGAACACTGCGTAATTAACTGTTACCAGCAATGCTATGTTCAGAGCAAAGGGCCTTTTACCATTGATTATTGTTGCTAGTCAAAGTCACCCATTATCAAATCTCATTAGCCAGCTATAAACTGTTACCTAGCTAGCTACCTAGCTAGTAAATTGAGATTCAGTAGGATCACCTTCGTTAACCTGCTAGCTAGGTAGTCAGAACTAACATCAAAATACATGACAGTGGGGATATTATTTACTCATGGATTTTATTTACCTTACTTGAATGGTAAGTTCAGATTTTTTGAATAGGGTCGTATGAGGTAGTGTTGTAGTACTCGAGACCGGTCTTTTTTGAATGTCTCGGCCTCGTCTCGGAATCGACTGCAGTTTTACTCGGTCTTATCTCGGTCTCGGACAAGGCGGACTGGGGATTTTTTTCAAAACCGGTCAAGACCACACCTGCGAGCATATCACTAATTTGCCTGTGAATTGTCTGATTTATTTTTGACATCATTGCTGTGATTGGATGCAAAACCATCTGCTTCAAATGCGACTAATAACGTTAACTTGACAGCTGGATTTTTTTTTTTGGGGGGGGCGCCCTTATTTCTTTAGACTGACTTTTCGAAGACAGCTTTTTTCGCACATTACACACAGGGCTTAAAGCTCGAAAAATTGCCATGCCGGAAAAATTAAATTACCGGGGGTCGTCCAAAAAAAAATGAGTTGTGTCCTAATGCACTTTGTGATGATCAGAGGTGTATAATAACGAACAGTAGCCTACTGAAGTGGTTTTTTTTTTTTTGAGGATTTGTACTTTGAGTTTTGACTAACTCTACCACTCTACTACATTTAAAAGATAAAAAGTATACTTTCACTTTGTTATGTTGACACTGGCCACTTCGTTACTCATTACAAATTAAAATATGAATGTAATTCATCATAAGGATTATCTTGATTTGGCACGTTAAAGAACGAGGGTGCTCAGCAGAGTATCTTTGTACAGATGTAGATGCCAGCGGACATGAAGCTGCAAATTTATGGACGCAGTTACAATATTCTATCACTAGATGGCACACCAGGATCAGTTATTGAATATTCACAAGCAAGCCAAGCTGAAACGCGGTTTTATGGATGAGTTCACTCCTAATTTAAATGCAGGATTTCTACTTTTATTAAAGCATTTACATTGTGATATTGACACTTTTAGTTAAGTTAATCCTCTGAGTATTTATTGCTCTACAGTTTAAATGCTATATTTTAACACGGGACAACTGGGCCTCTTCAATACTAATGATTTCTATAGCTGAATGTGTAAAATAGCAAGTGACTATTCAACTCTGACAACTGTACACTGTCTGTTGTATGCAGTCCTATATGGATTAACTATAAGACGAG